TTTTAGAGTAGAGACTTCAAGTCTCTTAGTTAAATATTTAATCGGGTCTACATTCAGTTTCAACTAATTTTATAAGTGGACTCAATTAAATATCCGGAGATTAATATAAAAAATATTTAATTGGGTAAAAAATTACAATTTTCAAAATTCTTTTTTTTTTTTTTTCAACAAAGGCCCAAACATTTTTTATACTTTTTTTTTCCAAATATCCCAAATCTTTTTCCCTCTTTGTAGATAATCATTCCCTTTTTGAATTGAGTCAACACCCACAACATAAATACTCCAAAGTTAAAGAGTATTCAATTATACTTTTTCAAAAGTTGCAGGGTGCGCATATGCCTTCATGCTTGCAGGTACCCAACGGACTCTAACTTTTATATATATATATATATGCATATATATTATTTTAAGTGAATTATCTCATCTTATGATTTAAAAGAGTGATGATTTCGAAAATTTCAAATTTTACACTTAAATTTTCATAATTTTTAAAATTTTAAATAGGTTGTTAACACACACTTGATTGGATCTACATGGTAAAGTTTCTATAATTGTTGGCATGATTATTTAACCCCCAAAACACAACAAATCAAAAGCAAGGTTACATACGTCTTGCATTAGTAAGAAGATTCTCCCATTCGTCTCCATTACTAAGATATATTTTTTTTAGATAGATTTTTAGCTACTAATAATCTCAAGAGCTACCACACTACAGTTATAAACATAAAATTTAACTAATTGAAAAATTCACATTTAGAAGACACTATAGAGCCACATATCCACCAAACGCAGCATCCGAAGTAAGGATTTATGTATTTTGGACAACCTAGAAAATGTAACTACAAGTTAATAAATATAAAAAATTTGAATTATTTGAAACAAAAGAAGTATATCATTCATATTGGATTTTTATTTTCCAAATACTTTTTTACCTGCATTCCCTAGGACTTTGGTCATTTTCTTGAAAGACACTTCAATTTGGGCTTGCGGTAACAGAAATGGAGAAACAGTAAGAGAGATTGGATTTATCTAAGATGTGAAAGAGAAAAGCAAAATATTGTGGATGCCTCTTTGCTTGACTTGAATTTCATGTTGAATAATGTTTGTGATGAACTGATTTTGGGACATCTTCTCCTTTGTGTCCTAGAAGTAGCTAGAAACTGTTCTCTATATAATTTTACAATCATAATTTCTAGTAAATGAAGCTTAATTATGAAAACATTAGGCAAGTCAATTTGATTGAGATGGAATAAGCCAAGGCCATAAAATGTTACAGTGAATCAGTAAATGGAAGTGATTTTGCTTACAAGAAAGAAACCAATGCCAAATTATACACCGTATCAAATTATACAAGAAGAAAACCAGTACCCAAATCAAATCATACACTATATTTTTGTGCTTGGAAGTAGTTTTTCTTACAAAAACAAGTATTAGATACCAATACATCTAACAAGTGAATTCTAGCATTATTTTGAACCTGATTGACAATATGAATCTAATTGTACCTTTGAATCTCAAAAACTACCAAGGACATAGCTCTGTAATTGAAACATCATTATTTGACAAGGGGACTAATTGTTCCTCTGATCTCTGCGAGTCTTGTACCCATGAATTGTACCCAAATGAGGATGACATGTTTGATGCAATGTTGCTGTGCACAAAAAATGCAGATTTAGAGGGCACTGGGAGACTAATTAAATTGTCATTAAGCATGAGAACAACTGAAGCCATGGTTGGTCTGTGAGCAACATTTTCTTGAACACATAGCAAACCAATATGGATGAATCTCATCATTTCAGCGGTTGAACCATTTCTCAAAGTTGGATCTAGGTGATTTAATCCTGTCCCTTCTTTCCAGTTTTTCCATGACTGCAAAAGGTTACAAAAGCACACACACAAGGCATCAAAGTGAGAACCAATTAAGATTTGAACTTTTATTTATCACAAGACAAGAAAGAAACATAAAATAAGTATAGATTGTCATACTTACATAACTTAATAGGTCCTCTATGTTCTCCCCATTTTGAAAACAACTATTTTTTTGTCCACTGACAATTTCTAAAAGTAACACACCAAAACTAAAAGCATCTGATTTTATTAAGAACTGCCCATGCATTGCATACTCTGGAGCCATGTACCCACTATAAGTATATCAATAGCAATGGGATCATTTTCAAGATAAAAAATGATAACTCATTTTCTAGTATTTTTTTAATGGAGTACATATGAAAGGAATTTTTGGTACTTTCACTACAAGCAAAATGCCTTCTACCAACGGAAGTCTATACTGACGGATTGAAATCCGTTTGTATATACGGGTCTATACCAACGGAAACCATAAGCAGTCAGTATACATGGATTTATACCAACGGAAAACATAAACAGTCAGTAATCATTGGTCTATACCAATGACAAAAATATATCTGTTAGTATAGACTAGGTTTATACAAACGGTATACTAATTTTTCGTCTGTATAGAGTTTATATATTCTAACGGTTATCAATATTCATTTGTATAAATCTATGTATACAGACGGATTCACATATTCTGTCTGTATAACTGACTGTTTCTTAAACATGATTTTTTCCTCTTTTATTTTAGCCATTTGTGTACATTTTCCCTTCCCTCCACATATTCCCAATTTCCCTTCCCCAAATTCTGAGTTTCCCTCCCCTTGTAGACCTAAGTGTTTCCGTCTCCCTCCTAAATCTCCAAAATTTGGAATCGATTTTCCTAAAACTCAAAAACCCATTCGAACCTAACTACAAAATTCAAAAGCTCGACTCTAATCCATCAACGACAGGAGGTCAGTAGGTGAGTTTGTGTTGATTTCAGGTGATTTCTTCCTAATCCTCTACATTTCTTCTATATTCATCGGTTGATTTCGTTCAAGAGACAAGTATTTGGGTTGATTTCATCCTCTTGCTAGCTTCCAATTCCCCCGAATTACACTCTCTAACCTAAGTTTCTCATCCACTTTTTTCCTATATCAAAATCGAGTACAACTTTAGGGTTTTTGAGATTTGTAAATCTATCTCTAATTTTATGCCAAGCTTTGGGTTCTCCTGTAATTTTGATTTGATTTGATGTATAGGAGGTTTCCAATGGAGGAGAGGCAGTGGCGTGCTGCTTGGCTAAGTGAAAAGGAGGCTTCTGTTGAGGATCTGGTGGCAAAGAGGTAGTGGCATTACTGAGAGAAGAAGAAGGTTAGTCAATACTCCTTTGATTCTTCTTTTTCTTTCTTTCATCCTCTTTGCTGCCTTCCAATTTCTCACCCAAAATAGCTCGAATTTCACTTGCCCTAAACGAGGTTTCTATTATTTCTTGTATTTCTTCCTCTCTTTTCGTGGATTTGCTCCATTTTTCTTTGATCTCCGTTCATCTGTTTCCAGGTTGAAGAATTTGCTCCAAAAATTCAACAGGTGATAGACAGGTATTTTTCCAATGCAATTTTTTTTTTTGTATATCTGTAGAGAATGAAATTGTTAATCTGCTTACTATATATGGATTGCTTTTGCATAAATTTTATGGAAGCTTTTAAATTCATGATAAGTACATTTGCTTTTATATCTCTTCTATGGAGTGAGAATTTTATAAAATGTCTCAAAAATAGATTCCTATTCTGGGTTTTAATTAGGGCTTACTATAACTATTCTTAGGGTTAATCTCATCTCATGATTTAGGAAAAAGGTGTGCTTGGTTTGCTGCAATAGAAATTGTGCTGAAATCATATGGTGGCTGACTTAAGTTGTTTGGTTATGCTTGAATTATATGCATTGATTTTCCCCCCCCCCTCTTTTTATGAATATGGTTTATGTTATCAACCCCTTCTGTTATTTTCATTGAAATTTTCACTTATCCTCTCTTTTATCAAAAA